TAATTTTCCATTTTAGGCGTTTTTAAGTGCAATGATTCCATTCTTTCATTTTTTATGGAAATAACTGAAATAATTTTTAACATTTCAATTTCTCCTTCAGCAAAATAATGTGCATGTGTCAATAATTTGCTTACAAAATGCTTGGGTCATTAGAACTATAAAAAAGAATAGATATAAAAAAATAAGTACTTTCTCGTTGTATCAACTTCGATTTCTCCTGCTCAATCACAGAGTATGATTAGAAAAAGATCGATATATCCAAGTCATTGGAAGAAATGTCGACTCGTCCACTTATCCGCTTTCATGAAATTTCCTTTAAACCCGAAATTTTGTTTTTTGCTTCATTTGGATTAAATTAATTTTCTTCTTCTTCTTCTTGTTTTAATAAGTTGCTATAGTGATGTTTGCATGAGTTTTTTTGCATTTATGATACACGATTTTCAGTTAATGTGAACTCACTAAGTGCATAACCTTTGAAAGATATCGTTATATGACAAACGATATGAAAGGCGTTTCAATCAGCGTTCTTTTATTGGAACCAGTCTACCCAACTGAAGAACTTGGAAGCTGCACTGAATGTTAACAAAAAACACCTTCAAATAAAATTAAATAAGAAAAATATTATTGAATAAATTTTAAAACGATGTCAACTTTGCTTGACAATTGTTATCTTTTTTTAGTTAAATTAAAGTTTGGATTTCGAGAACATTCGTGGATGCCTAAGATCAGACTTTAAGCTTAGAATAAGGTATTTAAGTCTATTTACTAGTTTATTTAGAAACAAAATTATTTTGAAGAGGCATTATAATGCCTTCTTTGAGGTAATTAATTCCCTTACCTCAGCCCATATAAGCAATAGGCTACTTCGATTTGCCCGATAGAGGTTAGAAATCCCGAGAAATCATGCAATTGATGATGAAGTGAAATTTTAAGACATTTCAGCATGAAGTAGCATGAAAGGCTTGTGACAAAGAATTCTCCGCATATAAAAAGCATAGTCTCTCTCGCCCTATTATGCTTCATTTCATGTTTTAATTTCAAGGGGATTTTTCTGTCTCAAAATTCAATCTTTTTTTATCAATATTTGCAAATAGAGTAACCATTTCTATGTTGCTCCAAATCCTTTTTTTTTCCAATCGCCAACCATTGTGCGGAAAGTACTTTTATTAAGAACTAACGCATAAAAGCGCAGTTTCAAGATCATCTGCCCCCTCCCCACCCCCCCTCCCCCCCACCCA